TCTGTAGATATGGCTGCTTGAGTTCTGTCCATTATTTTATACATCTTGGTTATTGAATTATCCAATTCTTAAATCTCGAAGTGCTTGGTTTTGAACAAGAATAATATATTTCATTGATTGTGATTGTAGCAGCATTAACGATCAAGTGAATAAAATCGGTCAGGGATCAAAGAAGGTCAGCCCCCAAAAAAAATCAGGTATGCTTACGATTCTATGGTGATAGGGTTCTTAATTGTGTGTTGACTTTATAGACTGTATCTGTATGTGACTTTTGCTGCTTGTTTAATTCTTTGTTCTTGTGTTGTGTGGCTGCTTTTGGGTTCCTCTTTTGTTGCTTTCTAGGCCTTTTTTTTTTTTTTTTATTCTAGGTGTTCTTGACGAAATCACATGAGTGAGTTGCTATTTTGTAGAATATCAGTTGCTTGGTTATGAGCATTTATTTTTGATGTTATTGTTCTTCAAATTAGGTACAATAGTGTGAGCTGTATGTTCTTATTTATGATTAAGAAGTGGTATAAATAGATGCTACTTTTTAACTAGAAGGCCATTCTGCTGAAAAGTTTGTAAAATTTATTGTTTAACTTCATCTGTTGTGTGGATATGGAGGGACTGTGTAAAGAATTGTATAAATTATTGTTTTAAAATTTTGATATTTTTCTTGTTGTTCTGTAGATATGGCTGATTGGGTTCTGTCCATTATTCTATACATTTTGGTTATTGGATTGTGGAATTCTTAAATCTCGAAGTGCTTGGTTTTGAACAAGAATAATATATTTCATTTATTGTGATTGATATGTAGCACCTCTATCTTAGTTCTTTAGAATCAATATAATCTCAGTTGTCCATTTTTGTGCCAAATACTGTTATACCCCGTACCCCGAGGCCAGGTCATCAAGAAAAGAACAAAAAAGCAATTAAGAACAATAGTCTGAATTTCGGCTGAGCTCTTTTAGGTCATCTCCAGCCCTTATCTCTACTTTAGCGCGAACTTTGTAAAGTAGAGTGAAACATTCGTCTCCAACCCTTATCTCTACATTTTACTTTACATAAATATATTATTTTTTATTCATTATTATTTCAAATAAATTAGTATGTAAATATTTATTACCCAAATAATAAAAATGTATTTTATTATTTTTATTTCAAATGAATTGGTATATATATATGTATATTTAATTTTACATAAAATGTTTATTACACAAATAATAAAAATATACTTTATTTATTTTTACTTTAAATAAATTAGTATATATATATGAATATTTAAAAATAGATTCTACAAAGTTATTTAGCATAAAAATACATTTATTAATACACATTATACAAAAATTTATCATTAATAATTAATATTATATAAAAATAAGAAAAAAAAACTTTGCTATAGTGTTGCGCCAGAACTGGCGCAACACTGTTCATATATGGTTCTGGCACATCACTGTTCATATATCTGATGTAGAGATAAAATCCAACGCAACCTTGGAGAAGATTTTTACTCTACTCCAGCGTTTTGCTCTATTCTAGAGCAGCGCTGGAGTTGGTCTTAGTCTTGATAGGAAGTGCTCAAATTTATTAAATCAATTTGATTATGTGCATTAACCTATATTCCAGTGGTTAGTGTTCCTTACATACAAAGTGTACAGAAGCTACATATTTTCTTAGTTATTATATACGTGCATAGAGTGATTAGGGAGGGTTATAAAGCCGGCAATCTTAAGTCGGCCATGAATTGCAGTTACGTGAAATATTACGAATTTATTGTTAAAAAAAACTTAAAAGCCTTTGTGTGGCATAGAGTGATTAGTTTTGCAATAACCGTTCCTCACTTTAAGATAGTTTGAGCAAATAGTTAAACTGGAATTTGGGTGGCATTGATTGAATATACTTTACCGAATTCGTTTTCTTCTTTTCACTTCATGTTTATTTTAATTTACTTTTCCTAATTCGATTTTTATGCTAGATTTTATATTAACGTTTGCTATAGGTTTGTAGTTTTTCATATTCAATCGAAAAATTTCATTCAAATTTGGAATTGAAGGAACTTATGTATGCTCAAAATCATGGATAAATTATATAAAAAAAAATGCTGACATTCTTTAACAAGTATGTAGAAAGGGCAAACTCAAACTGATTATGGGGAAGATAAACAAAAAGAAAAGTTACGTTTATTTGTTTTCAGACAGTTTAATGTAAAGTAAAACTAAAATGTTTTTTTTAATCATCTCTACACTCATCTTTTAATACAATTTTTAAGTTAAAATTTAATTATTACTACACATATATCTAAAATTTATATCTATAAAATTTATTTTTCGTCATTCACTAACTTCTAATTATTATTTAGTTATCTTATCATCACTACAAGAAATATTTATTATTCTTTACATTGCATCTAAAAATTTGCACTCAAATAAATTATGCCCAATCACGCAGTTTATCGTAATCACATTAACGATTTTTTACACACACCATCCAAATATCAAACTTTTGCACATTAAATAACTGCCAAATTGGAACTTTTGCACATTAAATACCTGCCAAATATATGTCATTTAAATTTACAACATCATTATGTTATTATTGAAAAAAATGCATTACGAACTTATTTGTTCAACATTTATATCTCTAAAATCATTGTAACAACCAAAATGTTCAATGATTTGCAAATAATAGACTATGTAGTTCGTGCATCTTTCAAATAGATAACAATGAAAAGGAAATGTTTGATTCTGATCAAAACATTTTTGAATGTTTGAGTAAGTTGTCACTTTTTTATAGGAACATTTACAATCTTAATTGTATATTGTGCTCGATAATATTCGCAATTAGTTTAGAGTACGTACTTTAATGTGATGTGATGATTTCAAAAAATAATTTAGCATCTGAGAAGTACATGATGTAGGAAAGTCAACTTTTATTTGGAGATAAAATTTGTTCCACCACATGGGGTATGCACTATATGGAGAGAGAGAGAGAGAGAGAGAGAGAGAGA